GAAGGGGGAGCAAAGGTTTTGAAACCACAGAGGCCCCAGGGGGCTATCTTTAGAGACAAGATTTAGATGGCAGTGTTGAGCAAGGCAGGAGGCTGTTCCCTGTGGTTCCAGAGAGGAGCACCGAGGGCCTGACTTGAGTGTTGAGAAGAAGAGGATGCACGAAGTCTGGGGCACTGGGTGGACACCCGCAGGAAGGGACATTTCTGTGGGAGAGTGTGAGCAGAGGGACAAGGGGGAGGGATTGCAAGGCCCTTTTGGACAGTGGGATAGGTGTGTTTAAAGGAGGTGCAAGTGGAGGGGAGGAGTTCATATGTGACAGGATAGTTCCCCTGTGACAGTTGAGGAAACTGAGGCTTTGGTGGGCTGAGTATCTTTTCTTGAGTTTCCAGGTGTGTAAGCAGCCATCTGCTTATTAGACTTCAATTCTTTGTCTTAAAAAACATCTATTCGAATCCAGAAGATTTTTCAGCACTTTTCTTGCCTGCCTTGCAAGTCTCCTGCTGCTGCTTCCTGACCTCCCAGCACAGCCATGTCATCAGAGTCAAGCAAAAAGCGGAAGCCCAAAGTGATTCGAAGCGAAGGAGCGCCAGCTGAAGGGAAGCGGAGCCGAGCTGACCCTGAGCAGGTGAGACCCTGGTGCCACAGAGAGATCCGCTGGGGGTTGTGGCAAGTCAGTGTGGCCCGAAGCAGGTGACAACCTCCCGGGCCAGGGCACTGGCATCCCCTGAACCCGCTACAACACCTGGAGCGCCTCTATTACTTTTACCAGCAGCACCCCTTCCACGAGCTGACAGACAAGTTGTGTTCGATGTAGTTAGTGCCTGAACTCGGAGCCCTGGTGGCATAATGGGTTATGAGTTGGTTTGCTAACCACAAGATCAGCAAGTTTGAACCAAAAGTTCGAACTCACCAGCTGCTCCAAGGGAGAAAGATGAGGCTCTCTGCTCCTGTCAATATTTATAGCCTTCGGAACCCACATGCGCACGCCCCTCTGCCCTGCAGGCCCGCTGTGAGTCCGAATGGACTCGACCGCAGTGAGGTTTCCGTCTGGGAATCTGTCCAGCTAATTTCTTTTTTAGTTGTTCCTACTGGTTGTCAGTTGGGTTTTGTTTGTTAGATTTGTTTTTCTTTTTCTTTTCTTTTCCAGATGCTCAAATCGAATGTATTCTTTTTCTCAACAAACTCCTTTCAATGGACAATCGCAGTCCATTGCTCCTGTCTCACTGAGTGAATAATATCAGCATCCATTCTGATTTACCAGTCAGGAAAACTCATGTTCCTGATTACACTCTTTTTTTATAGGAATTTTTATTGTCAATCAGCCAAGGGTTGACATTTCAGATCATCAACTTTGTACATTTAATTTGAGCCTTTAAGGGCCTCATGTGAGGCATCATTGTTAACTCTTCTTAGGTTCTCTTCGTAGGTATCAGCCAAGTGTCCCTGGTAGCGACAGACTCTCACCCCGCACTCAGGCCTAGCTCCTGTCTCTACAGGAAGGTAAACACTACAGTGAAGAGGCGGAAGTGGACCTGCGGGACCCTGGCAGAGACTATGAGCTGTACAAATACACATGTCAAGAGCTGCAGAGGCTCATGGCCGAGATTCAGGACCTGAAGAGCAAAGGAGGCAAGGACGTGGTAAGGAGTGAGACTGGCCAGCCAACAAACCTGGGGAGCCTGCATGCGTGGGACGAGACATTGTTAGCTCAGGAGTTCCCGCAGCCCGCCAGGGCCTCCCTCATCTGACTTTTCTGGAAATGGTCATGACCAGGTAGCTGGAACCCGCGGGCTCCAGACATCTGCCTAGCAATGTAATTTGTTGGTACCACTTATCACCACTTACAGTAATGAAAGCATAGAAAATTCTCTTTTTACTGTAATGGTAATCTAATCATTCAACTCATATTTTTTTTCTTTTTCGTAACAGTTTTATAATTTATAACAGGCATGTAATTCACATATGATGTAATTTAATGGCTTACTCATAGTAAAAAGACTTGACCATCATCATCACAATCAATTTTAGAACATTTTTCTTCGTTCTTGTACTCACTGTTAGTAGTTCCTCCTTTCCCCCCACCTCCCTTGCTATATCCGTAAGAAACCATTAATCCAGTTACTGTCTCCATAGAGCTACCTGTCCTGGATTTTATATACAGATAAACATACAACAACAACAAAAATCGCAAACCAACAACAATAACAATGTGACACGGGGAAAAAAAACCTCAATTGTAAAGAAAGCAGAGAATCTTAAAAAAAAAAGAAAATATTAAAAACTAGAACAAATGTCAAAGGGGTCAAAATCAACTAATATTTTATTAAGTGCCATACTTCTTGCTAGGTGTTAAGAAATGGTAATAGCTATAAAATTCCTTGTGAGGCCAATTCTGACCGTAGAGCACAGAGTGGGTCTCCACGTCTTTATGGGACCCCATCTTTTCTCCTGCACAGCAGCTGGTGTTGGGGTTAGCAGTCAAGGGTGTGACCACTGCACCACCAGGGCTCCGTGTTAAAGCTGTCTAAGCTTCAACCCTAGACTTAGTGGGTTTCCAAGACTAGATCTTTATAGGAGCATACGGAAAAAGATGAAGAACTTTTTCTCCCGGAGAAGCTGGTGGGTTTAAACTACTGACCTTGTAGTTAGCAACCCAGAGCTTTATCTGCGGCACCATCAGAGCTCCCTGTTGTAAACATTGATGTCTACAAATAAATCCTAGAGCCCCAAAGTGAAATTGTCATTAAATGGTTTCAAGAGCAGAGAAACTAAACTATAGCTAAAAAGTAAATGGATACATTTTAAGAAAACAACAATACAGATTTTTTTCTAGAAACCTCACTTAGGCTATCTAATATAGTGGCAACGATCACATTTAATCCATTCCAGCGGTTCTCAACCTGCGGGTCGTGACCCCTTTGGGAGTTGGACGACCTTTCATGGGGGTCACCCAATTCATGACAGTAGCAAAACTACAGTGATGATGTAGCAACAAAAATACTTTTATGGTTGGGGGGTCACCACCACATGGGAAACTGTATTAAAGGGTCGCGGCATTAGGATTATTCTTGAATGTTATTTACAGGAGTCAAATTTTATTGCTGATGTCATCATTGTTAGGATCTCTATCCAGGATCCCTTGCGACACGTGTGGTGGGGGAGTGGTGAAGGGGGAGGCCCTTGGGAGAGTAAAAATATTTAGAATCAAATTTACAGCTACGACACAGATTACATTCTTTAAATGTGCCACCTTTCTCGACAGTCTTTCTCATACTATTTAGTCTCATAAATACAAAGCCTCTTCCTTTCTCATCTGTCCTTTTGAGTTATTGTTATCAATTTGATCACGTAGAGATAATTCTTTGAAAGGAGTATAATGCTTACCTTAGTTATCTGGTGCTGTAACAGAAGTACCACACGTAGATGACCTTGACAAATAGAAATTTATTCTCCCTTTTAGGAGGCCAGGAGTCTGAATTTAGGGTGCTTGCTCTAAGGGAAGTCTAAGGTCCTCGTCTCCTTTGAACATCTGTGGGCCTGGTGTTCCTTGGAGGTTTACATGTCTCTTAGGCTCAGTCTTCTCCTGGGCCTCAGAGGTTCTCAGCACATGGGTCCTGGGTACAAACGATGTGCTCCAATCCAGCTTTTCTTTCTTCTTTCTTTTTTTTAAATCATTTTATTAGGGGCTCATACAACCATAATCGCAATCCATACATACATCAACTGTCTAAAGCACATCTGCACATTCATTGTCCTCATCACTCTCAAAACATTTGCTCTCCACCTAACCCCTGGCATCAGCTCCTCATTTCTTCCCCTCCCTCATGAACCCTCAACAATTTATAAATTATTATTTTGTCATATCTTGCCCTGTCCGACGTCTCCCTTCACCCACTTTTCTGTTGTCCGTCCCCCAGGGAGGAGGTCACACATAGATCCTTGTAATTGGTTCCCCCTTTCCAACCCACCCTCCCTCTACCCTCCTAGTATCGCCACTCACACCACTGGTCCTGAAGGGATCATCCGCCCTGGATTCCCTGTGTTTCCAGTTCTTATCTTTACCAGTGTACATCCTCTGGTCTAGCCAGACTTGCAAGGTCGAATTCGAGTCATGGTAGTGGGAGCGGGGAGGAAACATTTAGGAATTAGAGGAAAGTTGTATTTCTCATCGTTGTTACATTGCACCCTGACTGGCTCATCTCCTCCCCGAGACCCCTCTGCAAGGGCCTCTCCAGTGGCCTACTAATGGGCTTTGGATCTCCACTCCGCACTCCCCCCATCATTCACTATGGTAAGATTTTTTGTTTTGATGATGCCTTATACCTGATCCCTTCGACACCTCGTGGTTGCATAGGCTGGTGTGCTTCTTCCATGGGCTTTGTTGCTTCTGAGCTTGATGGCCGCTTGTTTACCTTCAAGCTTTTAAGACCCCAGACGCTATACTTTTTGATAGCCGGGCACCATCAGCTTTCTTCACCACATTTGCTTATGCACCCATTTGTCTTCAGTGATCCGTTCGAGGGATGGCTCATTTTCATCCTAGTTGGGATACCCAAACTGAACAATCCCATTATTAGGATTCCATATACCTTATGTGCATGGACCCATTCATACAATGGTACCATGCACCTTACTGACATTACTAGCAAACGAGCACCTCACATTTGTCTAGTCCTACCCAGTCCCTGGAGAAGGGCAACAGAAAGGAAACCCTGAATGAGATGGATTGACACAGTGACTGGAACAAAGGGCTCCATGGCTCAGAACCAGGCAGTGTTGTGCATAAGTTCTCAGCACACACTACCACCACCAGCCTTGTTTTTTGTTGTTGTTGTTTCTTAAGTCACTTTATTGGGGGCTCGTACAGCTCTTAGCACAGTCCATACATTCATCCATTGTGTCAAGCACATTTGTACATTTGTTGCCATCATTTTCAAGATAATTTTCTTTCTGCTTGAGCTGTTGGTATCAGCTCCACATTTTTTCCTCCTTCCCTCCCTCCCTCCCTCACTAACCCTTGATAATTTATAACATTTTTCTTCCATGTCTTACACTGTTCGATGTGTCCCTTCACCCACTTTTCTGTTGTCCATCCCCCAGGGAGGGGGTTATATGTACATCATTTTGATCGGTTCCCCCTTTCTCCTCCACCTTCTCCTTCCCCTCCCAGTATCACTACTCATTACTGGTCCTGAGGGGTCTATCTGTCCTGGATTTCTTGTGTTTTCAGCTCTTATATGTATCAGTGTATATCCTCTGGTCCAGCCAGATTTGTAAGGTAGAATTGGTATCATGATAGAGGGGGAGGGAGCATTAAAGAACTAGAGGAGGGTAGAGGGAAGGTGGGGTGGAAAGGGGGAACCGATTACAAGGATCTACATATAACCTCCTCCCTGGGGGATGGACAGCAGAAAAGTGGGTGAAGGGAGACGTCAAACAGTGTAAGACATGACAAAATAATAATAATTTATAAATTATCAAGGGTTCATGAGGGAGGGGAGACCGGGAAGGGAGGTGGAAAAAAAAAAGAGCTGATACCAAGGGCTGAGGTAGAAAGCAAATATTTTGAGAGTGGCGATAGCAGCAAATGTATTTGACACAATGGATGGATGTATGGATTGTGCTAAGAGTTGTACGAGCCCCCAATAAAATGATTAAAATTAAAAAAAAGAACTGGAGGACAGTTGTATGTTCATCAGTGATATACTGCACCCTGCCTGGCTCGTCTCCTCCCCGCGGCCCTTCTGTAAGGGGATGTCCAGTTGCTTACAGATGGGCTTTGGGTCTCCACTCTGCACTCCCCCTCATTCACAGTATAGGATTTTTTGTTCTTTGATGCCTGATACCACCACGAGTCACTTGCTGAGGGTTGTGAAGACTGCCGTGAGAAGGCCCCGAGAACCTCACCCAGGCGTTCTTCCACTTCCCTCCAACTTCGCTCTTCTCCTGGTTCTGGCTTTGGTGTGTGGTCCTCCGTTGTGTGTGTTTATAGGCAGCTGTGAGAGAGTGAAGCCTCCTCCCATCTTCTCTCCCTGCAGGCAGTTGAAATTGAAGAAAGGCGGATCCAGAGCTGTGTCCATTTCATGACCCTCAAGAAGCTCAACCGACTAGCTCACATCCGGTTGAAGAAAGGCCGAGATCAGACCCATGAGGTCAGACTGGCGAGGTTTCCTTGTTTCCCTCCTTTGCCTCCCCCCCC